AATCTAAACAAAAGGAATTCAACAGGAACAGGAGCCTGATTAATATTTCATTTCGCTTCAAGCAGAGAGTGTACAATTGTGTACCTGGAAATGCCAGTACAAGAACAAAAGAATGAGGAGTCAGCAGCAATAATAACACAGCAACAGCAGGTTCCGCAACACCGCAAACCAGTAACAACCAGTAGAATAACCCAACAACGGATTGAAAAATCAGCAAGACCAAAGTGCAATCGCAGTCAAAGCAGAAGAGAGACAGATACAAGATGCAGTAGTTTACTGATTTTGAATAACACTTGAGAAAAGCAAACGGAAATTATTCAAGTGAAAGTTCAACTTGCATTTCTCTTTTACTCTCAAGATGTTTCAAGTCTGTCAGCTCTCAAGTGTAAAAGTCTCCCAATAATAATCTCTAAAATCCTCTCAATAATGTTCAACCTCTAATTCCAGTCCTTTTTAATGTCAAGAATGACTCTATATATAGCAAGACAAGTCTTCAATTCCCAACCCAAAATCATTCCTCCAATGGCATGCTTTGTCCCCACTATTTAATGTCTTCTTTATTTTAAACCTTGTCCCCCATGCCTTCATTAAATAAATACCACATTCTCAACCCATTATAATTTGTCTCCCATGCCTACATTAAATAAGTACAATATTCCCAACCCATTATAATTTGTCTTGTCCCCCATTATGTTAAACAAGTATATCAAAACCCCACCCCATTATACTTTGTCCCCCATGCCTACATAAACAATTATAATAATGTTCAATTACCAAACTACCCCTTCCGACCTTATTGCAATTACCATTTTACCCCTGAACGGATTGCAATTTACCAAACTACCCCCATCAGCTCTAAACACTCAATCAATCATAACTTAACCAAAATATAGCCAAGATGACCAATTTCTCAACAATCTTCAACAACAAATTATACGAACACGATGAACAACACAACTCAAAATTAATGGAATGAATTAACCATATCGGGAACCAATCCTGGTTAATTTAGACCATCAATGAATGAGCAAGGATACAACAATACAAACAACAAAATACATGATTCAAACTAAATCAAACAAATCAAAACAAACATAAACTCACATTAAATCACTAGATTAAACATGAACTTCAAACAAAGATGAACATGAACTAAATCATTTTTTAAACAA